CGGCAGAAGATGGCCCCTTGGGAGCACGACGAGCTCCAGAGGCAGGACGGCGAGCTGGCTGCCCTGCGGCAGCAAGCCGAGGCGCTCAAGGCCGACAGCGCCAACGCCAAGCTCACCGCACTCAGCGGCCTCAAGGAGGAGCTGCAGAAGCTTGGAGGAGGAGAGCAGGCCACGAGCTGCGTCAAGGCCGTCGAGGCCAAGTACTCAGAGCCGCCCAAGCCCAAGAGCCTCCCAGCCTTGGAGGGGCAGCGCAGGAAGCTCGAGGGCCAGCTCCAGAGGGCCCTCGCCAAGGTGGCGGAGCTCGAGGACCCGCGCGGCAAGCTCGACCAGCGGATCTGCGAGGCCAAGGACTCGGCCGCCGAGCTCAAGTGCAAGTTGCAGGTGGCGGACGCCGAGATCGAGTCCCGCCATGCCGCTGGAGTCCTCGGCGATGGGCCCAGGGGCCTGGCCAAGGTTCTGGAGCAGTTCAAGGCTACGGCTGTGGAGAACCAGGCGGTGCTGCAGGGCCTCATCCAGCTGCAGGACGTCGTCAAGAAGGAGCAGGAGACCCTGGAGGCAGCTGACGATGCCGCACCTGGTGATGGCGATGGCGATTGCGCTGCTGACCCAGGTAGTGGGGATCCACACGAGGGTGTCCCTGGCAGTGCAGGGTCAGGGGGGGTGTCTGTCCCCGTCCCTGGCGAGCTTGTCGACAGTCTCATGGAGGACGCCCCAGAAGGCGAGAGCGTCGAGCAGCGGCGCAAGCGCTTCAGCGACATCATCGAGGCCCAGCTCAAGCGGCCTCGGGTTTGATAGCCTGTGGCTCTACACTGTCAACGCGAACACCGACAAGGGCGATCGGGACTTCCTCGACTGGCTGGACAGCCAGCACAGCCTCGCGGAGGCTGGGTCGATGAGGCGGCCAGTCGCAGACATCACCTTCGTGCAGGAGACGCGCGTGCGTGAATGTGGCAGAGAGGCAGTCCAGCCTTGGCATCGGAAGCGCGGCTTCGACTTCGACCTTGCCGCAGGGCTCAGCACGGGAGACGGGCCCCAGGCCGTCTCAGGCGGGGTAGGCATCGGTGCGCGGCAGCGGTTTGCGGCAGCCACGCTCGACACCGATTTCAAGCAGCCCCACCGAGTGCTCCGACGGGTAGTCAACATTGGCGACGGGCTCGCCATCGATCTCATGTCCATCTACCTCCGCGACGGGGAGGGCATGAGCGAGGCCAACGCAGACATCCTCTGGGAAGTTGCGTCGCAGCTCAGGGTGGCGGCGCGGCCGTGGATGCTGGCTGGCGATTTCAACATGGACCCCCTCCAGGTCGCGGCGTGGGCGGCGACGGCTGGAGGGCTCGCGCTACATACAGGGGCGCCTACCTGCAGGGCGGGGGCGCTCAACGAGCTCGACTACGCGGTCATCTCCGACGAGCTTCAGCAGTTCGTGTTCAGCCACGGGCCCGTGGTCGAGGCCCCCTTCGGGCCACACAGCCCCGTCCTGTTGGAAGCACGAGGGCTGCGCGCAGAAGCCACGGTACAGCAACTACATCGCGCTGCGCGGCTGCCGTTCGATCGGGCCATCGGCTGTCTGCCCTGCGCCCCACTGCCTGCCTGGACTTGGGAGGAGGACACGCCCCCCCCCCTGCCCGCGGGCTGCCATGCAGGAGTGGCTACGGCACGCCGAGGGCTACCTTCTCCCACTCTACGACCTGCACGGGGACGAGGCTCAGAAGTTCGCTGGCAGGGCCGACGGAGTGCGCTTCGTCAATGTGCCGCTCGCGGACGCCAGCCGCCGCCGCTGGGCTCAGCTCAGCTCGCACGAGACCCACGCCTGGGGCGGGCTGGTCAGCCTGCTGCAGCGCGCAGACCTGCCGGCGGCGCGTGGGAAGGACCTACAGGGCCTGGCCAGCCTGCGCGCCCGCCTGGCGGCGCTGCGCCTGGGCGACTACGACGGCACCATGGCCCCTGTGCCCAGGGGTGAGCTGGGCGCTGCGGCGACCTCCAGCGACGCGGCTTTGAGGAGGAGGCTCATTGAGCACGCTAGGGCCCAGCAGCAGGTCAGCCAGCGCAGCGACGCAGCTGCCGCCAGGAGGCAGTGGCAGGCCTGGGCCAAAGGCTCTGCCACAGGCGGGGGGAAGCTCGCCCACCGCTTCTCCAAGCCTGAGCCGCTGGCCAAGGCGACCCTCGTCACGGCGGACGAGGGCGAGGGGGGGGCGCTACCAGTCAACGGCGACGAGGCGGTGCGGCACTGCCTCAAAGAGTGGCTTCCGCTCTGGCTGGACCCTCGGCGCAGAGGAGGCCTCGAGGAAGCGGCCAGCTGGGAGGCGCCAGAGCCGCTGCCGAGCCTCGAGGTGGACAGCCTCAGGCACCTGCTCAAGCGGCACGGGAGGTGGGCAGGCCTGGGATGGGACCAGCTCCACCCGAGGCAGCTGCTCCTCCTTGACGAGTCCTTCCTGGCCAGGCTCCTCGACGTGCTGGCCAGCTGGGAGGACGGGCCCGAGGCTTACTGGGACTGGCTCGCTGTCATCGTCTTTCGTGCCAAGGCAGACGGCGGCAGGAGGCCTATCGCTCCCACCTGCCTTCAGCTTCGCCTCTGGTCGGCCCTGCGAGGGCCCATAGTCAGGGCATGGGAGGCGCAACACCACGAGGTATGGTACATTGGCGGGGAGCTGAACACGTGCGAGAGGGCAGGCTGGGTGCATCAGACCCTCACGGCCCTGGCCTACGAGAAAGGCCTCAGCACGGGCACGGCCCTAGGGGACCTACGGAAGTTCTACGAGAACATCAGCCACAAGGAGCTCCTGGTGGAGGCTCAGGCCACGGGCTTCCCTGTCAAGCTCCTCAGGGCATGCTGCGTCTCGTACTCAGGCTACAGAGTCATCACGGTTGACGGGGCCCGCAGCTCGCCCTTTCGGGCGACTGGCACGGTGCTGGCAGGCTGCTCCTGCGCGACGGGGATAGCCAAGCTACTCCTCTTCAGATATTTCAAGAAGGCGGCGGCCTTCTACCCCAGCGTGCGGTTGGGCAGTGTAGTCGACGACTTCGCGCTCCAGACTGCGGGCACCACGGGCATGGTGAAGGCAGTGCTAGGCCCCGCCACGCGCATGCTGTTGGGCTGCTTCGACGAGAAGCGGGCGCCCGTTCACTTCGGGAAGCTTTGCTACCTCGCCCCCGACGCAGAGGCGGCGAAGCAGCTGGAGTCGGAGTGGCCCGCCGAGGACGGCAGGGCGCAGCGCGGCAGGCTGCTAGGCAACGACGTGCACGATGGGCGCTGGAGGCGCACCGCCATCGGGGAGCAGCGAGTCGAGGATGCACTTGCAAGGTCTCGGAGGCCGCAGGTTCTGATGTCAGCTGGGGCCAAGGTAGCCACGGTGCAGAGGGGCGGCCCCACGGCAGCCGTCACCCGGGGCTCGGCCACGACTGGCTTCGCCCCCTCGGTGCTGCACGGGCTACGTGTTGCTGCAGCGCGTGGAGAAGGGCATCTTGCGCCAGGGGCTTCTGTTGACCTGCGGATGAGGTGCTTCCCCAAAGGCATCGAGAGAGACCCAGCGGTGGTGAACGCTGGCCAGGTCGCGATGCAGTTCGGCATGGCGCTCTGGCTGGGCTACCCCACTCCGTTCGCCCTCGACACGCTGCTTGAGAAGGCCACGCAGCGTTTCTCGACTGCGAAGCGGCCCTGGGCAGCCTGCAGAGACCCCGTGGTAGCCTTTTTTCCTCACCATCACCAGGCTGGGCTGGACCATCGAGGGCGGCAGGCACGTCACCACCGACCAGGGGTTGGAGGTCGACCTGGCCAGGGTCTCGCCTTACTTCATCAAGGAGCTGGCAGAGGGAGCGCCCAAGAGGTGGTCCGACCGCGACGCCACCTTCAGGCTGCACCCCCACCAGAGTTCGGACCTGCATTGGGGATCGCTGCAAAGGCTCGGCAGGTCCAAGGAGTCGCTCGGCTGGCAGCAACATCAGCGAGCGGCCCCCCACTCGGTCATTTCAGGCACGGTACTCTCTCAGACGCGGCTCTACAAGAGAGGCTTGGCCTCCGAGTGGGACTGCCTCATGTGCAGGGGCGCGCCTGGCACGCTCTGGCACAGGCTGCGCGGCTGCCATGGGCGCGCGGCCTTTCGCAAGGACGAGGCCTCACCCGAGCTCCTTCGGCACGCAGAGGTGCCTCGGGCTGCAGGAAGGAACTGCGGCGAGATGTTCGGCAGGTGCCTCTTCCCGTCGCTCGACCACGCGGTCCCGAGGCGCGACCCAGATGGAGACCCAGTTCGATGGCATCGGCGCCCAGCCTCGGGGTACCCCACAGGCCTCATCTTCACGGACGGCAGCGCGGTGGGCACGCGGTGGCCAGAGCTGCAGCGCGCTGGCTGGTCGCTCGTGCAGTGCGACAGGCATGGGCGCCTGGTGGCTGCAGGGGATGGGTGCCCCTCTCCATGGCGCCGCGGCAGGAGGCGCGGGACGGCGAGGACTACGCGTACCACATGGCGGCCTTCCCCTGCGAGGGCCACGTCGACTTCCAGACGGACTGTTCAGGGGCGGTGGCGTGCGCCCAGAGGGGTGATGCATGGGCATTCACCTTTCCCAGCGTCTATGGTCGTCGCAGAGGCGTTTTTTTCCGGAATTTGTTTTCCACTGGGGTCGCGGCTTCCGTGGACGCCGGCGGCCGTTTGCGCGGCACGCAACTTGGCAACAGGATTCAGCGCGCATGGAAGCGCACGCGGGCACTCAGGAGCGCGCCGCTACTGGGGAGGGGACGCCAGCAGGCGGTCATGTTGACCACGGACGCCCGCGCGCGCGCGGGTGCACTGTCAGGCACTCCCGCGCGGTCACATATTGCCACAAGCGGCGGAGCGAGTTTCACATGCGCCCGCGCGCGCCCGCAGCTGATCACGAGACGCCCGCGGGCGTCGCGCCTACGGGCGCGCGCCTACAGGCGCCTGCGCAAACGCGAAGGCGCCTGCTGACCTCTCTCCCGCCTCTGCCGCGCGCTCACGCGCGGCCATGGGCCGCCCCTGGGGTGCTCGGAAGCCCCCCCGGGAATCTCATTAACCCCGCGTGCCCACGCGCACCGAGGCGCTCACAGGCGACGGGGGCACGCGCAACAAAAAATCCTCCACGTCGTGTTCCTCAAATTGGTCATCATATGTTTCAGCAAACCCCCTCGTTTCATCCTTCCTTTCCCTCTTCCCCCTCCCCCATCCACCTCGCCCCCCCTGCTTCCCAAACTCCCTCTGCCTCTCCCACTTCTTCCCTGCCCCTTTTCCCTCCTCTCCCCCCCCCGCTCCCCTGCACTCCACCTTCCCTCATCTTCCCTCGTTATGTTCCGTGCCCTTCTCGCCCCGCATATCCATCCTCCTCCCCGTCAGTCTCAATATGTCTCTCTCGCTCTCCCCCTCCCCTTCCCCCCCCCCCCCTGGTGGTTCTGCCGTAGACGGTTGCCAACGACAATGATGGCACAAAGAGAAGTGCATTTTCACTGCGCGCCGCGCCGCCCCACGGCATGGCGAGTTGGTTAAGTGGCCCCGCTGCGCTGCGATGCCTTCTCTCCGCTACGCTGTGGCAAGCCGCCGTTCCCCCGTCCCCGACTGCCCGCGCCTTGCCACACGCACGACCAGAACCCATGTGCGTGCATTCGGGGGGCGGGGGGTCAAAACCGCATTTTCATACTGATGGGCGAAAGCTCCAGGGCCCCCGCGCGAGCAAGCCGCACCGCTGCGCGCGTAGCTCTTTATTACACATGTTTGCGCCCGTTTTCCCACGCGGGCGGGGCCTGCAAAGCGAGGGAGCGGCTGGCGGGTAAGAGCGGGTGCGGGGGGGGCGAACGGGCCGGCTGAGGGGGTCAAGGACAGGAGGTCGGGGAGCCAACGGAGGCCAAAAATAACCCCAGGGACCTGGGAAAACCGGAATTGAACGAACAAAGGACAACAGCGGCGGGGAGGGCGAGGAACGGACAAATTCAGCGACGGGAGCGGGAGGAACAACTAATTGGAGGGACAAGGGGGAAGGGAATATGATTGGGGAGAAGCATCGAAAACAGAGGTCGCACGGGCAAGGCGGGTGAGGATACAGGGGGCGTCTGTCCGCCCTGGCAGGAAGTACCCCTCCAGCTGCCCCTACATTGGGACTCGCGCACTCAATGTTTAATGAACTGTGTTCGGGGAGTGCACAGGATTCCACGACGTTGTGTATCACACGGGCATTGTGTGAAATCTGGTAGAAGGAAAACGGATACCACAACCGAGCACCAGGGATCGCAACCAAACAACGGGACTCGCAACTCCAAAACTGGAGTCGCAACAGGTAACATCGGATCTCGCAACAATGGTTTCGCCTGCGCTGTCCGAGCCGTCGACGGCTTCAGGCTCGAGGGCCAATGCGAAGGCCCCTCCGCCGAAGGCGCCTGCGGCCAAGAGGGCCAAGAAGTGAGCAGCGCCGGTTCGAGGCAGCCTACTGGAGCTGGGAAGGGAGTGGAGAAGCCGATAGGGGTGGGTATTGGACGACTATGAGGAGGGTAATGAACCGTTGTGCATATTTGTTGGTATTCACCGCCATGGCCGTGCATCCCTTGCCGCTGCTCGAGTGCCCGAAAGGCTACGTCGGGGGGCGCAAGTAAATGGTTCTGTGGTAGGCTGCCCCTCGAACGGATCGCGCACCCCAGCGTCGAGCTGTCGGCCACCCGAAAAGTGTGCGAGTGTGTGCGTGCGTGTCTGTATGTGTGTGTGGAGCGATGCTCGTGGGTCGGGGTGGGCCCCGACCTGGGGCACGTAGCCCGCCGTTTGCGATCGCCCCATAAAGCCCATGGCCGAAGCTCGGACCTAAGCAGGCGTTTGCGACAAGGGTCGTTGCCTGAGCCCGAGTACTGCCCTTCTGCAAGGCCACTGGGAGGACCCCCCCCGTGTCTCCCCCCCTGAGTCTTGGGACTTCTTTTGAAATTAATTCATATTCCTGACCACCGCCATTCCATTATCCGCCTCTCCCCCGGCCCAAAAGGGCCCCAAGGCTCCCAAGGAGGTTCCCAGAGGCATTCGGGGCCCAAGGGGGCCAGAAGACGGCCCCAAGAGGGCCCGAAGTGGCCCCATGACGGCCCCAAGAAGCCCCAAGACGGCTCCAGGAGGCCCCAAGACGGCCCCAAGAGGGCCCCATCGAGGTCCCAAGACGACCCCAAGAGGATAAGGGATGGGGGGGGGAACAGGATGCAGGAGGAGTAGGATGCAGGAGAGGGAGGAGGAGGGACGAGGGAGAGGAGGAGCCAGGAGGAGGCGACGGAGGATGGACTCGAGGAGGAGGAGGAGGCCGGATAAAGCAAGAGGACGAAGAGGAGGAGGCAGGAGGGAAGACGGGCTCGGAGGCCTGGAAAAAAAAACACCAATCCCCAACGAGTTCCCAGAAGCTCTCCTCCCCCCCCTCCTCCTGCCCCCCCGCCAGCTGGCCGACGAGGGGCGCATCGACCACCCCTGAAGAGCCTTCCCAAAAGGCTCAAGGAGAGCAACAAGAGGGCCGCAAAGTGGCTCCAAGCGGGCCCCCAGAAGGCTCCAAGACGGCCGAAAAAAGATATTCAGATGGCCATGGCCATCTGAATATCTCTTGGACCCCTTTTTGGGGCCCTCCGCGGGCGCGGTGGGCCCTCCCAAGAGGCTCCAAGAGCGCCCCAAGAGGGCCGCCAGGTGGCTCCAAGCAGGCCGCCAGAGGGCTCCAAGACGGCCGAAAAAGATATCCAGACTGCCATGGCCATCTGGGGATTTGCAAAAACCCGAGGGAAACGCCGAACGCTTCGCTGGCGAAGCGTTCGGCGTTTCCCTCGGGTTTTTGCGGGCCGCCAAGTGGCTCCAAGGGGCCCCCAAGAGGGCTCCAAGACGGGCGAAAGAAATATTCAGATGGCCATGGTTATCTGAATATCTCTTGGGGCGCTTTTTAAAGCCCTCTGGGGGCTCGGCGGGCCCCCCCATGAAGCTCCATGAGGACCCGCCCCAAGAGGGCCGCCAAGAGGGCCCCAGGACAGCTTATAAAAACAGCTTGTTTTATAACGTACTCCCGGGCACTCTTGGGGGCCTCTTGGAGCCCTCTTGGGGGCCTCTTGGAGCCCGCTAGGGGCCCTGTTGAAACCCTTTTGGGGGCCTCTTGGAGCCCTGTAGGGGCCCTCTTGGACCCTTCCCAGGGCCCTCGGAAGGCTCCAAGAGGGCCCGCTTGGGCTCTCTTGGAGCCTTCCTGGGGCCATCCTTTTTGTTCGATTTCAGAAGGGCCCCGAGGTCCGCGTAGGTCTTCAGAGGTCTGCAAGGCCCGAGGGTGCCCAAGCTGGGGCGTCCAGATCTGGGGGCATCTGCGCGCCTCCCTTTCTGGGTGCTTTGGGCCGCTAGGCCCCGGTGCTCGCCCCCGCGCCTCCCCCTGGGGCCCGGCGCCCACGGTCGCCAGGTCCCGGCTCCCGCCCCCGGCCGCTACCCGCAGCTATTGCCGCGGACTCTGGCCGGGACCTCCGCGCACAAAAAACGGCTCAGGCCATCAAGCTGTCCATCTCGGCGCCCGCGACTGAGGCCGCCGCCGACTTCTTGGACTCCTTCGGTTTCGGGCCCGCGTCCTAAGCCACGGCCTCGGGCACCTCCGCGTCGGGGCCCACCAGGGCGCCGCTGACCTCGAGGGGCTCGCGGATGCTGGCGGTGCGAGCGGTGCCCGCGGCGCCCTGCTGCTCCCCCGACAGCATCCACTTGAACGTGTGGAAAGGCTTCAGCATGTTCGCGTGCACCTGCCCCGCCTGGAGCGCGCGCTCGAACTCGCCATGCAAAGCCTTCGTGGCAGGCCGGCCCGTGATCCGGGACAGCTCCTCTCCGTGCGCATCGAGCTCCTTGCAGACGCAGAAATGCTCGATGGCCTCCAGCGCCTTGCGACGGAAAGGCGTGCTCTGGAACGGGGCCAGGTCGGTCGCCTCCTTCCCGTGGTAGAGCTCGCCCACCAACTTCTTGATCCTCCGCAAGTCATCCTCGGCAATATTGCCGCAGAACAGCGTCAGGTCATCGTCCGTGAACTCCGAAAGATGGGCGAGCGCGTGCTTGTAGCCCTTCTTGATGTTCGCCGCAGAGAGGACGAAGAACATGGAGCTCTCGAACTTCTCGCGGGCCACGCCGCCCGCCTGGGCCTGCAGCCACCCAACCTGGAGCACGAAGGTCCGGTCGTGCACCCTCCACTTCGGCGCCTGCGTCTCGATCGCCTTCAGTAGCGACTCAGCGTCCTTCTTCCTGCTCTTCTCCAAGGACGCGTCCACGACAGAGTTCGCCAACTGGAACCCAGAGACCAGGCCTGCCTCCATGACCTTGCCCCGGTCCTCAATCGTCGGTTCCGGCACCGGGCCCAAGGCCTCCGAGACGGGGCCCCCGGAGACGGGGGCAAGGGCCGCGGGGAGGAGGAGGGCATGAAGTGGGGGAGCATCGGCGCTGCAGGAAGCGAAGCAAGGAGGGAACGCAGGAGGATATGTCACGAGTGGGGCGACGGCGCGCGGCGGAGGGGCCGACGCGAGGGGGCAGGACAGGAGCTGGACGCGGAAACGTTGCTCGACGCATGGGCGCCTCTTCCAAGGACGTCGCCTGCAGCGCCCCGCACTCCAGACCCATGTCCTTCAGCCACGCAGCACGCGCGAAAGTCCACTCCTGCCAAAAGCGAAGCTCAGAGGAACCCAACACGAAAGCACCCCAAGAAAGATGCAGCAGGACCCCCAGAGAACTCCACTTGGAGCCTCATGTCTCCCAGGCGGCCCCTGGGGACTCCAGGAGGGTTTGCTGATGGCTCCAAGAGAGTACCTGGAGGCCACGGGGGGCCTCCAGCCTAACGGAAGTGCTAGGGCCCTGTCGGGGCTGGACGCCCCGAGCGGGCCTCCAGCACAGACAGGGCCCTCGCACTTCCGTTCGGAGCTGACCAGACACCAAAGGCATCACTCGGAGGCGGCTCTGAATATGGAGCCCCGCCATGTCGGGTTTTCTGGCAGCACCGTTTCCTCCTGCGCGGAGGCCACCGTGCACTTCACGTCCACGCGGCGGTGCACGACGACAACGGGCCTCTTCCCGCGCAGCAGGACGTGGACCTGGAGGCGGTCCATCTCCGCCTTCACTTTCTGGTCGGCTGCGTTCATCTTCTTCTGCGCGATGGGCGGCGTGATGCCCGATAGGACGCCCATCATCAACTGCTTTAGCCACCCCTCCGCGCCCTTCTTCGCCACGTCGTGGAACAGCGAGCGCCGGAGGTGGGAGGAGTTCAGGAGGCGCACGCACGCCGGCAGAACCTTCTCCGGGGACTTCTCCTCGCAACCCGCCACGGTCAAGGCGCGCATAGATCTTCCAGAAATCAGCGAACGGATCGGACCTCTTGCTAAACGAGCTGAAAACCACCTGCAGACAATCGCCCCACACAGTCTTGAGCAACGCCACCTCCCGAGGGAAACGCTCGTCCAGGCGGCGCCGGACGATGCACTCCATGAGGGCAGCGATGTACTCTTGCCGGGCTGGCTGCACGAGGGGGTTGTTCCCAGCGACGTCGCGGAGACATACCACAAGTTCCTTTTGGTTCAGCCCTTCGCACTCGGACATGTACGCCACGAAATCGCCGTTGCTACGTTTGTCGCAGGACGGGTCCTTCGACAGGCGGATGGCCGCGAGCAACTCCTTGGGCACCTCGTCCTGGCTGCCGCGAGGCGCCGACAGGCACGAGCGGATGCGCCCTCTGGCGAGGCCCCGCCCCCCAACTACCCCGAGCCTCACCCCAAGAGTACCCCCTGTCACCTCATATGGGATAAAAGGGGCCACGCTCCCGAACGAAACCCCTGCGAGCCCGAGTGACCCCGGGCCCCCCCAGGCATCCTCGGGGAAGCGGATGCGGAGGTCGCGTTCCGCCGTGCCCGCCGGCGCGAAGCGCTTCCTCAACTCACGCACCTGGTGGTCCTGCACCCGCGCCGCGGCGCCTCGGATGGCCTTCGCGGCGTCCCACAAGAGAGCCCCGTCCTCGTCGGTGAGGCCCCTGATCTCGTCCGCCTTGCCGAAATCCCGGAAGCGCTCCTCCAGCAGCTTGGTGGCGCGCCTGTCCAGCGCGGCTCCTTCCTCTGCGGCCTTCCCCTCCGCTTTCTGGCTCTTCGCCGCACTGTTCGCGCAGGGGGCCTTCTGGGCCGACCAGCGCATGATGTCGTCGACCCCGGTGCCGCACGGCTTGGAGCGTTTCGGCGCGGGCGCGTGCTGTCCCCGGGCCTCCGTGCCATCATCCGCAGAACCCTCTGCCAACCACGTGTCGGCGTCGGCCGCGCGCTTGCCAGGCGTGCCGGCCTGGCCGGCTCCGAAGACATCGCTCTCGCTGGCCGACTCATCCGCCTCGCTGTGGGCCCCGAGCACACCATTGCGGCCCACGCGGTGTCCCACAGAGCGGGCGGCCCCGAAGTCCTCGAATGCGAACCTCGGACCACCGCGCTCCGCGACCACCATTGCGCCGGTCTCCACGGCCGCCTGCTGCGGGGGGGCCACCGTCGCCGGAGCCGCCGGCGCTTTGCGGCGGCCTTCCGGCCGCGCTTCGGCGGCGTTCGCTGCCTGGGGCCCCAGTGAGTGGGCCACCTGCGCCGCCGGAGGGGGGGCCTCGGGGCGCCCCGAGGAGCCTCGGGCTGCGCTTGGCGCTGCCGAGGCGCCCCCCAAGAGGCTGCGCAGGGCCCCCTGCTGCTGGCCCCCGGAGGCCGCCTCCCTCAGCAGCTTGTTCTGCCTCCTCGTCTCCGCCGCCTTCTTCCCCGCCGCCGAGCGCGCCGCTGAGGCCATGGCGCCCGCGGGCGGCCGCGAAGCAGGGGCTGGACAACCGAGCAAGATGCAGCCGAACACCTGAGCCTGACCAAAGATTCGAGCCAAAATGATTACGAATCAGGAGTGTGATTCAAACGCGTTTGCGGGTCTGAACCCCTCGCGGATCGATCCAGGTCGACAACTCTGGTGTGAAGATGCGGTCGAGAACTCCGGTTCGATACACCGTCGGAGCCCTCTTGGAGGCCACTCTGACCTCGCATAGGAAGCCCACCAGGCAACAGCGAAACTCCTCCAGGAGGCAGCCCACGAACGGCCCAGTAGCGGACCCACTGAAGCCCCACTAGAGCGCCCACTAAGGCGCCCACTATGGCCCCCACTAGGGCGCCCACTAGGGCCTCCACTAGGGCCCCCACTAGGGCCCCCACTAGGGCGCCCACTAGGGCGCCCACTAGGGCCCCCACTAGGACCCCCACTAAGGCCCCCACTAGGGCGCCCACTAGGGCCCCCACTAGGGCCCCACTAGGGCCCCCCACTAGGGCTCCACTAGGGTTCCCACTAGGGCGCCCGCCCACTAGGGCCACCACTAGGTCACATATTAGGCGGGACTTCGCACTCGACTTCGGAACTGGACTTCAAGCCAACTCAGCATGGCCACGAACCCTGTGACAGTTGCTAGTGGGGCGCTAGTGGGGCGCCAGTGGGGGCGCTAGTGGGGGCGCTAGTGGGGAGTGCAGTGGGGATCCCAAGAGCCCTCTGAATGCTCTGGGGCCCCTGGTGCCCTGAGGAGTCTGAGGAGCAGGAGGAGACAGGAGGAGGCAGGGGGAGGAGGAGGACGCAGTAGGGGGAGAGGACGCCCCACGACCTTCCCAACCCCCCCGCGCTCCACGCCCCACGACCTTCCCAACCCTCTCCGTCCCGCTCCACGCCCCACGACCTTCCCAACCCCCCCTCCGCTCCACGCCCCACGACCTTCCCACCCCCCCCGCGCTCGACGCCCCACGACCCTCCCAACCTTCTCCGTCCCGCTCGGGCCCGGCCGCCGCGGCCGTCGAGGTGGGGCGCCGGGGCTGGGGGGACCTCAGAGGATTCGCAAAAACCCGAGGGAAACGCCGAACGCTTCGCTGGCGAAGCGTTCGGTGTTTCCCTCGGCTTTTTTATCGTGCCCCAGAGGGCTCCAAGCGGGCCCCAAGAGGGCTCCAAGACGGCCGAAAAAAATATTCAGATGGCCATGGCCATCTGAATATCTCTAGGGCCCCTTCTTGGGGCCCTCCGTGGGCGCGGCGGGCCCTCCCAAGAGGCTCCAGGAGCGCCCCAAGAGGGCCGCCAAGTGGCTCCAAGCAGGCCGCCAGAGGGCTCCAAGACGGCCGAAAAAGATACTCAGATTGCCATGGCCATTTGAATCTCTTGCGCGCTTTTTTGAAGTCCTCCGAGGGCTCGGTGGGCCCTCCCAAGAGGCTCCAGGAGCGCCCCAAGAGGGCCGCCAAGTGGCTCCAAGGGGGCCCCAAGAGGGCTCCAAGACGGCCGAAAGAGATATTCAGATGGCCACGGTCATCTGAATATCTCTTGGGCCCCTTTTTGAGGCCCTCTGGGGGCTCGGTGGGCCCTCCCATGAAGCTCCATGAGGGCCCCAAGAGGGCCGCCAAGAGGGCCCCTTCCCAGGGCCCTCGGAAAGCTCCAAGAGGGCCCGCTAGGGCCCTCTTGGAGCCTTCCTGGGTCCATCCTTCTTGTTGGATTTCAAAAAGGCCCCGAGGTCCGCGTAGGTCTTCAGAGGTCTGCAAGGCCCGAGGGTGCCCAAGCTGGGGCGTCCAGATCTGGGGCCTCTGAGCGCCTCTCTTTCTGGGTACTTTGGGCCGCTAGGTCCCTGTGGGGCCCTCTCGGGGCCTTGCTCAGGAAGGTGGCCCCCATGGCGCCCCCGCGTGGCTCAAGTTTTCTACGTAAGGAGCCCCGTGGTAGCCCCCTGCAAGCCATGCAGTCCGCGCAGCCGCGCCTGCGCAGCAGTGGCGTGTTGTATACCTGTGAGCTGTCTGGCTGGGTTTCCGGGTTCTTCTACGAGGTCCCTCTGCTTACGTGCGTCCACCACGGCACGCAATCCCCCCTCTCGACTGCCCTGGGGCGCTTCGATCGGCCCCCCGAGGCCGGCTGAACCGCGGCGCGACGGCGGAGACGCCAGAGGCAGATTGATATTTCCTGGGCGCATGAGCCCCTAACCTCGGTCCGGGGGCAGGGCCCTGCGCCAGCGGGCGGGCGCGGATGGTGGGGAGTGCCGCCGAATCCGAGAGGGCCACAGGGCCGGCGCTGTACCCGAGCCTCCTGGGCACCACTTCCCGGAGCTTCCGCAGCTGTAAGACAATGTGTCTGTCGCCAGCGGGCCAAGTGGAGATCTCGTTGGTGAATGCCTCTGTCTCGACGTAGCCCGCTATATGTGCGGGGGTGAAACGAAACGCCGCGTCCCCTGCCTGAAGGTCTTCGAAAAACTTCAGCATCCGCCTGCACCATTCAGCCGCCATCGTCTGGGCCCTAGCCTGCGTGAGGTTCGCGATGTGGAAATCCATGCTCTTGGTCGGAAAGCGGTAGTTGACAATGAAGTGTTCAGCTTCCTGATTCGCGAATGTGGCGCGAACGTAATTGGCGTCGACCCCGCGATGCTCCCTGGTGAAGTTGCCGCCCCTCAGACCAACCTTGAAATCCACGGCAACGCCCCCAGTCTCCTCCGCCAGGGCTCGCCTGCGGAGCTCGAGGCGGGCGGCGAGATCCTCGCGGCCCTCTGCGTCCAAGACGACCCTCGGCTCGGGAGGCGGCGGCGGCGGCCCTGCGGCGCCGCGGGCCTCGCCCCGAGGGGGATCCGCGGGAGGGCGGCGGCCGGCGAATTCGAAGGCGGGCAAGTAGCCTTCCAACCACGGGTGCTCCAATAATAAATCCCTCCTCGCCGCTGCGCCGATCCGCCGCTGCCGCGGCTTCCGCTCTGGTGCTGGCGGCAAGGAACTCTCCACGGCTTCCCAGCTCACAAGACGAACCGTGGTGCCAACGCTCCCTGCACTGAGGAAACAAGCGTGCAAGGCCACGTGCATGTCGTCCGAAACGGGCACGTCGCGCTCCGCGGCGTACTCAGGGGGGCAGGGGGCACAAAAATGATGCTGCACGTGGCGGCCTCCTCGGGCCGAGGCGTCGCCGCCGAGCTCCAGCGGACCGTCGACCGCACGGGCCTTCAGGAACGTTGCTTCATACGTGTCCTTTTTTTGCATGCAAGAAAGCGTACGCCAAGGCATCGTCCCCGTCGCCGATCAACAGCAACGTGTTGGAAAATATGTCTCCGTTCAACACAGTGGATCTCAGCCACGCGGGCCTAGGCCTCTCGTCCCAATAGTCCACGTGCGGGATTCTCCTCAAACGCGCCATCAGCTGGGGGTCGACCGGCCCAGGGTCCTCGAGCGCTGTCGCTCGCAACTCCCCAACCTCCCTGTCGGACACTCCCTCCCACAACCGCTCTGCCAGCGCCAACGCCTGCGGCCCCAACCTACAGTTCGAGCTTCTGAACAAAGCCCCGCGCACCGCGGCGCCCGCATCGCGAGCCTCCCGATGGGCGCACAGCTGCTCCTGCAAATCTGCAATGCAAGCTTGAATGGCAGCCGCTTTTTCCACGGCGCGACTCCTGGCCATCTCACGCAATGCCTGCCTATCGGCGTGGCCGTGCTCGCCCCATTCCGCGGGCACGACGCATTGCATGATGAAGTGGATGTCCGCCTGGGAGAACGGTTGCCCCGCTGGTGCAAGTAACCGGCACTCCTCGACGACACGCTGCACCAAGACGTTATAGGAGCTGCCCCTCTGCGGGCGCTTCCGTTGCAATCTGGCTATCTCACTCTGAATTTGCAGCTCCTTTCTGTCGGCGGCGGTAGCGGCGGGCGTGCTGACGAGCTGCGAGACGAGGGCGATGAACGCGTGGCACTGCATCACGTTTGGCCCCAGCCGTCGATGCTGGAGTCGGATGGCGGCAGATGTCCCGTGCATTTGCTCAACGCCCACAGTGGCGACGTGCACCTGGCGCCCCAGCTGGTGAGCGTCGTGCAACGTGGCAGTGGAGACTCCGAGCAGGGTCTCCAACGCAAGTAGCTGCGCGAGCTGCGGATGTTCGGCACCGCCAGGGGCGCGGAGCTTCGCAAGCGCAACGTCTGGGTCTGGCTCAGAGAAAAAACTCCATGGAGGCCTGTGCATCTGGGACCAGGCCATTCGCCACATGTACCCGCCCTGGATGTGGCCAGAGCGGCAGCACGCATGTCGAACATATTCCGCCGTGCCCTCTGGCCCGACCGCGGTGGCCAATCGGTGCCAGGCGTACTCAGGCAGCGCATCCATCCAGAGCATGGCGTCCTCGACCGCGCGCTCGCAGTCGCCGACCCTATGGCGCAAACGTTCATCTTCCATGAGGATCTGCAACGGCGCGTCTGCCACGCGGCCGGCCGCGGCAGCCACGACCGCAAATCTCCTGCGGGCGCTCAGACACGCGGGCACCGCTGGGCCGACCGCGCAACGCAAACGCACCTCGCCCTTGCACCGCTGAAGGGGATGGGTGGGGTCGCGGGTCAAAAGCGGCCCGCGGAAGCGGACGCCGCGCGGCGGATTCCTTCCCCGCGGGCCGCTCTGGACTCCCCCGCCCGTCCCCGCCAGCACTGGCAGGCGGAGTGCATCGCGCGTGCGATTGTGGCCAGCATCACGCGTGAAAGGCGGCCCTGAGATCAGCAGTCAACTTGTCGAAGCCGTTGGTGTAATAGCCGCTCTCCTCGCCCTTCTGTTGGACTCTGGCAACGAGCCTCGGCAACCCGATGCACCACGCTGCAACGAGGGTCCGCATAGAGCTGCCGACGCAGAGCCACCTTGATGTGGAAAACTTTTTGAATCGAAACACCGACATGTACACTGCGCGCAGAAGCTGGTACAGGTCTGGATGGTCACGCATGTCAGGTGATAGAACTACTTGGCCAGCAACGAAACGAAGATCCATCTTCACCAGAATGTGAAGAAGCTCGCCGTCGACCCCAAGAGCTTCCCAGAAAGCGCTGGCCTCGCATGCCGGGGCCCCCGAGCACTCGAAAGCGATGTTCTCGAAGAGGAACCCGAGATTCGCCGCGAGCGCGTCGAAGGAGTTGCGCAAGGACTCGATCGCGTTGCACAGGTCCTCGGGGACGATAAGATCGAAATAAAAAACGTTGCCCCCGCAAGCCCGCGCCCTGCTGGTTTCGGGGCGCGCGCGGGGCAAAAGGACGTGCCGAAACCACGACCGCGGGCCCCAGCGGGGCCTGGAACGGCTGCCATCCCACACCCATGCTCAGAGAGGCGGGCGATTGATTATTGCGCCCCCTGAAAAATCAATTCGGGAGCGGCGGGCGACCAGGGCCCGAACTGAGCCAAATCGAACGGTCCCACACGGGCCGACCGCAGAGGTGAGACCCAACGGCCCTGCGTTGCACCGGACTTGCGGCTGCGCTGGGAATGGGGCCTTCAGAAACATGCGATCCCCGCCTGTCCTTGTACTGTTGCTCGCAATCTGGCAGTGCGTGTCTCGTGCCCCAGTGAAAAGCATTGTGGCAGCAATGATGCACGCACCATACTACAAACACAAACTCCTGCTTTCTCAAAATCTCCCGTGTCACGTCATCGCCAAGAAAATCCTCGTACCACAAATGGTGCCACTGCTGCAGCAATGGATGCAGAGACTTGTATGGCTTCCCGTCCATCTTGTACGCCGATATGCAAATCCCACGATGTCCAAGCTCCCTCAGACGCGGGAAGAATTGCATGCAGCAGTTTAGAAGCGTTTCCTTGTCAGTGTGGTGAAGTGGAATAGGGTCTCTAAACCAACGCCGCATCTGGAGATCACCCTGGTCGACTCTAGCGACGTATGCTTTCTGATTGTAAAACTCTTTATGCCGGACGGCCCCCGCCCTGCGAACACTGGCCCCGCTAGGAAGCTCGGCTCGCATGTGCCTGAACGTGATCAACGGAGTGCCGTCGCATGCGTAATCGCACAGGACGGGCGCCTCCAGGTCCTCCTGGACGAAATCCTTGCACGAGCTGCGTAGAATCGCCTGCGGGCGACGGGGGCGCAAACAAGAGAGGAAGCAGGCGGAAGCTGGTGCATCAAACATGCCGCCCACTCTCCGAAGGGGGTGGCAAGTTTCAAATGCACCGGCTCGCCTTCCCGACCTCCGCAGCGCGCTCCACGCGCCGCTCCGAAAAGCCACTGTCAACAACAGCGGAAGCTTTCCGAAAAGCTTCTATGGTGGCCAACCACGACATGGCGGCGGGGCCCGCCGACGGGGGCCGCGCAACTTGGGCCTACCATGCATCGCAACATAAAAAAGCGAACACGAACATATTTGCTAATGGGCGCCTGGTGCCACCGCCCCTTAAGAAACGACGCCAATGCGGCTGGATCCTGAGAGACCGCGGACTCTTGGAAATCGAACCCGCCATGATATTTCTAAGAACGGCCCCAAGACTAGGCGGCATCGAATTGAACCAGAAACATGACAGCACAGACACGCCACGGCAGTGCCCACGACCCGCACCCTTGGATACCACCTATATACTATTGCGTCGTTGCGGGCCACCGTGGGGGATCCGCCAGCAAGCCTTTCGCCCAGGATCCTGGACTCCGACGGGGATGCGGATGAGAGATTCGCCCAGCAACGCAAGGTCGTCTTCAACTGCGGCCTCGGGATAAGGAATCGCAGGGCCAAGGCGCGTGAGACGCTTGAGTCCGGGAATCTATCGGGAGATGAGGACGTCGAACTCCAGGGTCGTTAAGCGGAGGGAGCCCAGGAGAGGGAGGATGGAGAGGGAGGGCGCGGGGATGGAGGCTGAAACTGAGGAGGCGCTGGAAAGAGCAGCAGAAACAAACGAATGAGAGAGAATGATGTGGCGGAGGAGCAGGAGGAGAGAGGGCGACGCACGAAACGACGGACGGTGCACTCGCAAAGCGAAAACAATGCAGACACATCGAGAATACAATTAAATACCACGCTTCATCGCGGCACGCCAGGCCGCAGAATTTCGATCCCGATGGGGACGTGGTTAGAAGACCTGCCAGCAACCTCTGCGCCCGAGAATTTCGAGTCCGACGGGGGCGTGGCCGAGAGACATCCACCAGCAGGCCATGAGGGCTACAGTCTCGACTCTGGCAAATGCCCAAATGAGACATCTGCCCGCGAACCAATCGCAGATGGGGTCGAGAACTCCAGGGGGTCACGACTTGCATCTTTAGCTCCCGTGATTGTTTTCGGCGATCCTGCGGCCGCCCTTGGCCGCCCGGGGGGGCCCGCTCGCGAGTTGTTTTGGGCCTCAAATTACAATCGGCGGAATCGGGGGCGAGCGGTGATGGCGCGAATATGTCTATTCCCCATTGGCCCGCGCCCCAGTGTCCCCGCGAGCAGCTCGAGGGCAGTCGCAAGACGCAACTGAAGGATGGGAAAAAGACGATGGAGGAGAACGGATAAGATTATAATGATGAGTGCTTTTTAAAAACCGAAAAGGCAATCGCGCGAGAAGCGATCGCGATGTCAAAAGTAATGAAAAAAAACAAGCGCGGAAACCAATGCAAGCACAGAGTGCAAGCCCGAGCGTCACATGTAGGCATCGCGGCACCTGTGCGTCGCCGCCTGTGCGCAGGTGAAAATGCAGTGCAACAACTACTCCCTTCGCGCACTGGCCAAGGCGGAAAGCGCATGCGCTCCCAACGGAAAGCGATCGTGGCACGGCAGAGATCTGCGCCACGGCACCAACAATGCACGCGACGCCGAAGTGGCGCAACGCGCGCCGGGCAAAAACGGGGAAGCCACGCGCATTGCGCCGCGCGGCCCGCGCGCATTAGGAACAGGAGCGCCTGCAATGAGTTGCCATTTCTGTTTCAACTTGCCCCGGTAGGCCGCATTTGCGAACAACAATGGCCCGCTATGACGCTGCGCGCGGCTACGAATTTCTAGCAAAATCCACGCGCGCGCAACGCGCGCGCGCCCCCGCGCAGACCGCCGCTTCCAAGCCACGAAAGCATTCAGTCCACGCGTTCAACGCGATCCCACCGGTCTGATCCAACGTGCCTGCCATCGGTCACGCATCGCTCCCGCCCCGCGCAACCGCAGAGGCCGCGAACCATTCGAGCGTTGCGCACGGCCACAGGCTCGCGCGCACCCGCGATTCAGCACCCCCCGTCGCGAAGGAGGGGACCGAACCAGAGCGTCCCAATGCAACAAGAAAGACACTCAACAGCGGGGGGCC